CTCACTACTGACCAGTAAAATGCAAATTAAAAAGATATACCACTTTCTGATCTATCAGATCAGCAAAATACTCTTTAAAATCTAATATCCTTGGTTGATGTAGTTCTGAAAAAACAGATCTTAGATCCTGGTAAGAATGTAAGCTGGTACAACTTCTTCCAAGAACACTGTGATAGGACCTAGCAGACTTTTAAATGAGCACACCCTCTGCACAAGCAGTTCTTCTAGGACAGAGTCAGCATAAACACACAACGTGCAATGGTGTTTCCAGCAATATTCACCGTGACCTTGTTTAGAGTGACAGAAAGGTGCGGAGAAGCTATATGTCATCAAGAAAGAAAAGGTTAAGTAAATTGTGAATTACCCATAGAAGGAAATGTAGGCAGTAAAAAGAATTAGAAGACACACTGGAATTATGTAAGTGGAAGGCTATCCAGTATATATTACTGACATTAAAAAAAAAAGATGCACAACATATATCATGACCTTATTTTTGTTATTAAATAACAAAGCAACAACAGAGTTCACAGGTTTACATACGCATACAGAAACGCCTAGGAGCACGCTTACTCGGCTGCTGGCAATGTCATTTCTAGGAACTAGGAGGGATAGTTAGGGAAATGTACCTTCCTCATTTTATGCTGTTCTAACATTTTCATGGCAAGGCATTATTACTTTTGTAACTGAAAAAAAAATAAAGTACAAAGGAGTGAAGTCACTTCTCTGGTGGGTTTACCCACACAGCGCTTGGCCCAGGAGAAGCACCGGTGCGCGTCTGGAGGAGCGAAGGGAGCTTTACAGGAATGGGCTCACGTGCCACAGCCTGGAGGAGAGAGGTCTGGGGTCCACAGGGTCTGCTCACTGTCACAAGGCCCGCGGTACCAGAGGAGGAGGAACAGCCCCCAGTGGTGGATTCACGCTGCCAGGGACACTGCAGAGGAGGTGAGAGGGCTCGTGCTGGTCAGAAGTGTTTCCAGGTCTGGTAAGTTTGAGGAACTTTAGTTGGATGAAGGGAGACACTGAAGCTTCCCAAGTGAGGGGTGACTGGCAGAACAGAACATACCCTCCGGAAGACAGAGGGGCAGCAAGGCCAGTGGTAAGAAAACAAGTGACAACAGATGTTTCCACCAACACACGAGGAAGGGGATGGACCCTGAGCCAGGGCCCGGGCAGGACCTGGGACAGCCTAAATCCCTTCCTCAGGCAGGCCCTGGCAAGCAGGAGACAGGGACAGAGGAGCGCACAGACAGGAAGCACAGACTGGGACGTGTCTGTGGGGTGATGGGGGCGAGATCCTGGGGAGAGGGAGGAGCTCAGGGCGGCGCCCTGAGCGAAGGTGGTATCTTCCACTAACATCGGTGAGGAGAGAGAGGGCAGAAGCCAGACATGCTGTACCCTAAACAACACTGACGCACATAATCCCATGTGAAATTCCATCTGTTTATTATTACTGATTCATTTATTACTGATACATGAAATGAAAAATTCAGATTATTTTATCCTTTATTCACATTTCATTTTAGGAGGAAGAAAAATCTTAATAAGCAAGGATGAATAAAAAGAATGAAGAGCTTGGTAACAGCCTCTCTGAGTTCTCCGCGTGTCAATCCATATGGCATCCATCCGCCATGTGAATTTTGCAAGAGAGATTATCGGCTTTATGGAGTTTATAGATGGTCGATCCCAGAGGCGGGTATACAAACATTCAGAGTTCTTGACCAAAGCTTTGGTTCCATCTGTCTGCTAAGCTACACTCTTTGGAAAGCCAAGGCCCCTTAATCGCTCGGCAGGAAGGTGGTCGTGGTGAATTCGAGCCTCCTGACGGGGACAGCATGGACGAGGCTTCCTCACTCCCAGACTGGGCAGCACAGGGAGGGGTGGCTGAGCTCTGAGCCCCTGGCACTAAGTAGATTCTTTTCTGCCCCCACCTTTACTGAGGCATCATTGATGCATAAAAACTGCATATTTAGGTTTACATCATTTTTTAAGGTGTGCAGGATGGTTTAACGTATGTATACACTGTGACATGCTTACCACAGTCAAGCTAACAAACACATTTACCACCTCACATAATAACCATTGTGTGTGTGTGTAGTGAGAACACTTAAGATCTACTCTCTCGGCAGACGTGAAGTATGCAAGACAGTATTGCCAACTACGATCCCCACGCTGTACATCAGCTGCCTGGACCTAACCTGAAACGTCGTGCGCTTTGAGCACCTTCTCCCAATCCCCCCCACCCTCTGGAAACCACTGTCATGCTCTCTGGTTCTGTGAATTTGGCTGCTTTAGATTCCATACGTAAGTGAGATCACACAGCATTTGTCTTTCTGTGTCTAGCTTATTTCATATAGCATATGTCCTCCAGGTCCACCCATGTTGCAAATGGCAGGGTTTCCATATTTTTTACAGCTGAATAATATTCCTCTATGTGTGCAGATCACATTTTCTGCACCCATTCATCCCTTGATGAACACAGGTTGCTTCCGTATCTTGCCCATTGTGAATGGAGTGGTATTTCCTCATCTGCGGGGATACTTTCCAAGAGCCCCCGTGGATGCCCAAAACCACGGAGAGTACTGAACCCTTTATCTTATGTTTTCACCGATGCATGTATGTCTACGATAAAGTTTATTAATTAGGCACAGTAAGGGATTAACCACAATCACTAGGAATACAAGAGAATAATTATAACAATAGACTATAATAAAGGTTACGTAAGTGTAGTTTTTCTCTCTTGCTCTCTCTCAGAATATCTTACTGCACTGACTTGCCCTTCTTCTTGTGATGACATGAGATGATAAAATGCCTGTGTGATGAGATGGAGTGAGGTGCATGGCAGGCACTGTGATGCGTGTTCAGCTACTACTGACTTGCCAACAATACATCAGAAGAAGGACCACCTACCCCGGGTGATCCTGAGTCACAGAGCCAGGACAATGTCTATGGCTGGATATTGATGGGTGAGGATCTGGGGTGGGACAGAATGAGAACAGCCCTCAATTTATAATTTATGAATTGCTTATTTCTGGAATTTTCTATTTAATATTTTTAGACTAAAGTTGACCAAGGGTAACTGAAACCACGGAAAGAAAAACCACAGATGAGGGGGGATTGAATGCTGCAGTGGGCATAGCGTGTGGGTATCTCTGAGATCCTGATATCATTTCCTTTGAACATGTGCCCAGAAGGGGAGCTGCTGGCTCATGTGGTCGTTCCATTTTTCATGTTTTAGGGAACCTCTCTCCCGCTTTCCACAGTGGCTGTACCAATTTACGTCCCCACCAACAGTGCACGGGGTTCCCTCTTGTCCCCTCGCCAGCACTTCCTACCGCTTGTCTTTTCGGCCACAGCCATTCTGACAGGTGTGGGCTGACAGCTCACAGGGGCACTGACTTGTGTCTCCCTGGGGATTAGTGATGTCAAGCACCTTCTACATACCTGTTGGCCATTTATGTGTCTTCTGTGGGAAAAGGTCTATTCAGGCCTTTTGCCCATTTTCTAATGGGGTTATTTGACAGATTCTCAGTGCCTGACAACTATCTGCCCCCGCCCCCCCCCCGCCTCCTCCTCAAAGCAGAGAGCAAAGGCTGAGATGTGACCGTGTGCAACCTGCCACCTCCCCTGCTCCCTCTCGGGGGAGAGGACAGACTGGCCCCAGGGCTGGGCTGGGGCGGAGGAGCGCTGCGGGCAGCCCACCCGTGTCAGCGGTGACAGGGCAAACACGACCTGCCCCTCACTTGCTGTTGCTACTTTCAGAGGCTGGATTCTCTTAGTTTTCACTTCAGGCCACTAACAGTAACGGGGCGAAGGGCTCCTAACTTGCCAAAGACTCAGTCCTCCGTCAGGCACATTTCTCTGGGCACCCTGGGCGCGGCCGGAGGGGCTCATGAACCAAACCGCTCTTCGTCTGGAGCCGCTCCTTGTTAACGGTGTCAGCCAGATGATCAATAAGCCAGCCTGTTTAGAAACGCCACTCTAAGTATTCCCGGGAAAGAGGCATTGGATTATTAGGGTGGCTAATGAATCCTGCGGCAGGACATTCACAGCCACAGACCTTCTGCACAGAAGACTGGCCGTTACCTCTCATCTTATAGTAGCTTTGCTTTTTTGTTTTGGGGTTTTTTTTTTTTTTCGGTTGGGAGGGTGGGGGGCTTTTTCGGTCTCTTATTTGCAGCTGTTCCTCCTGTACCGTGTGTCTTCTCTGTCTGCGGGGACCTAATCACAGCGCCTGGATGGTTTCCCTAATCCTCCACCTGGGGCGTCTGACAGCATGCCGTGGGAGACGTCTGGACCCTGCAGACGAGACCTACCTCACTCCCAACATTGACTGTGAACCTGAGGGATGGTGTGAACCAAAGTTTGGCGACATGAATTCCTTGTTTCAGGGATACGTGATCGGTCCAGCAATGCTGCCCCTAAGACTACACGCATTTATTCATGACGTGTGTGATCGTAACAGCTTCCCTATACTGTCTTCTCTGTACCAGGCATCATCCTTGGTGCAGTCACTATATTCTTTGACGTAATCCTTACAGCCCCCCTGGAGACAAGCAGATCGATCTTCATTTTTCAGAGAAGCGAAGTGAGGCTCAGAGAAGTCATGTCATTTACTCAGGTAACACAGCTAGTAGGTGCTGGAACTGATTAAACCCACGCCTGTCTGACCGCAAGCTCATGCTCTCTACCCTGCTAGATGGTGCCACGTCCTCTCATTCATTCATTCATTCACCCATCCATCCATCCGACAATCAGGCACTGGAGAAGCACCTACGGGGACCGGGTACAGGGACGTCAAAGACACAGTCTTATTTGAGCAGATCTGTAACTAGAAGTTCTCGTGACTTCTGGTTGGAAACTCGGATCTTCTGGGTCTCTAGGCCAGCCAGACAGAGAATCAGAGTCAAAGCATCTGAGAGCGAATCAGCACCTTCATCGCTGACAGGCACACCCGCGGGCGTGGCGCCCGCACCCCACACCCTGCGCCCCAGCCCCCTTACCATCTCCGCTTCTGCCTGGGTTGGTGGGTTCAGGGGTGCTCAGAGGCCTGAGGGGAATGACGATCTCATCCACATTAACTCCTTCTTCGGTGTGCTTCTCAGAAACGTGGGAGAGGAGCTCCGACTGACTTGGTGAGAAAAGGTTACAACATTTGCACATGAAGATGGCTGTGTTTTCTGCAAAGAAAAGAAAAAAGCAAAATATGTTATTTCACCAAAACAATGATTACATCTAATTGCCAAAGGAAAATACTAAAGCTGCTCTTCTGAGTCGCCAGACTCCAACCAACGGTGTCCCCCTCGCAGACGCCACGCGGCCGCGCAGCTCACCGCTAACTCCAGGTGGCCCTGGCTGCCAGGAAACTCTTCCTTCAGGATTTCAGATCCTCAGTCCTCCTGGGTCGTGTCTACGATGGACCTCCCTGTTACCCGAATCTACTCAAGAGCCAAGATTCAGTACCAACATGGCAAAGTGAAAACCGAATATGGAACCTGAAAATTCATCCAACCTTCAAGTGAGTGAATGGCGTTGACAACGTGAATTAGCCTAGTGAGACCCATTCAAATTAGGTGCAAGGAGGAAATGACCAAAACTGCATTTCTCAGGAGCCAGCACACCCTTCGCTGGCTGGCACAGGAACCGAGAACAAGGATGGGAGTCTGTTGCTTCTTCAAGTCACTTTGTTCCTATTTAAAGTATTATCCTCGTTCACATTCACTAACAGTCCGTTATGTTCATCCTGTTATGCTAGGCAAGAAGACATATGGAGGGGACACCTAATTTTTGAGTCTGATAAAATAATTATAGGCACATATAGGAATATTAAATTTAGGATCCAATAACAAAAGCTAGATTTTTTTTCACATTTACACTGAAGGGAAGAATGGGTATGATGGTGTTGAAGGGCAAACTTCAACTCCAGCCCCTAAATGTGGCAAAGTTGGCTGACCTGGGAGCAGTGGTGATGATCTCCAGGTTGCAGAGCTGAATCGAAGGGCAGGTACCGTGCCTACTCTGCAGGGGAACACAGCAGGCACTTGGTAAACCACTCCCTGATTCAATCCAACCCTCCACCCACCATGTGCTCTGACCCTGCAGCTGCAGCAGCTGAAAATCTGCGCCCGCGCGGCCCAGCTCCCTGACCCCCGCCTTCACCAGCCTCACAGGGACTCTGAGCTCGGCCCAGGAATCAGACAAGGGCTCTAGGCCACTGACCATCTGTCAGTGTGAACAGATACAGCCCTCTTCCCCTCTCCTCACCCCTACCCTCACTGTCAGCCGACGACCTTGCTCCCTATTTCACCTGAAGCAGCCAGAAGACAGCTCCACGAGCTCCCTCCGCCTCACCTGTCCTTCCACCTGCAGCCTCACCTCCCCCTGGCAGCTCCTGTTGGAGGCGGGTGGGCCCAGTGCGGCACTGAGGCTGTGTGCGTGTGGCGTGGGGAGCAGCGGGAGTGGTCCGCCCCGGTGCGGGCAGGGACGTTGTTTAGAAATGGCAAAAGGCAAACCAACATTTTAACACAGTTACTGCTTCTATATTTTCTAAAGACAGTGCATCCTTAGTGCCTGCACCTGGGAACACTGCTCCCACGGCCTCACCCCGGAAGACACTGCACAAAGGGCAATGCAATGGCCTGTGTGCTCTGAACCCCTACCTCTCCCACCTTCTCGGTGATGTCAATCCAGCAACTTTTGCTTCTCTCCTCAGATCATCGATTCTTCCCTCCTTCCTGGTCTCTGCCTGCGTGCTCCTGTTACTCCCATCTCAGAACGAAACTCAACAAAAATCTCTCTCGATCTCCACTCCCTCACTCTCCCCGACCCCACTTTTCTCCTCTTCACAGCAAGGCCAGAAACGAGATGAGAAAGGAAGGCAGGAGGCCAGCACGACGTTGCCCCAGTGAGGACAGAGCCCCCCAGGGCACCAGAGTCACAGAAACGAGACCCTCTCTGCGTTGAAAGAAAGGGTTTCTCCAGTAACAAGCAGGTGGAGTAATGACCTAAGAGAATTCTTTCCTACCAAATAACACAAGAAACAGAAATTTAACAAAGCAGAACATTGTTTCATCAATGAAAATTTCTCATGAATACTGTCGATCGATATTTTATTTCTTTTCAAGAAATGCTTTATTGCTAAGGAGCCCCAAATGCATCCAGAACAAGAGGAGAGTGCAGGGGTACTGTTTCCTTTATAAGAGGCCGTGTCATTTTCAACATGCTTCCTGCTGATCCTACAATGACCGTACAATTTAGGCTAAAGGGGTTTGTAATCCCCATTCCACAGGTGAGGAAACTGAGGCTGAGAGGGGAGGAGCAATCTTCCCAAGTCAAAGCCCAGACCCTCTGCCCCCTGCCTTTGCCATGGGCCACATCTGGCTAGACCGTGAGCTGAGTGCCTCCCAGTTAGAGCTAAAATGCTGATCACTGTAGCCGACCACGCCTGAAACGAGAATCATTACAGAAAGCACAAGCCCCAGATCGTGTGTCAGTGTCCTTCTCAGTCGTTTCCGTGTCCACAGAGCAGCGGCCATGGGGTAGCCTCCCCAAAGGCACTGCGGATGCAGAGGTGAGTCAGGTCCCGCTACAGAGGAGGCCACCACCCCACCACAGAACAAATGCATCTTAGGGGTCTTACTGAAACTACCCCGCAGCGGACCTGGAAGTATCCCTGACTCCGTTAACGCTTCCAGGAGAAAGGGAACTCTGACACGTAACAGAGCCGAACTCCTGGGCATCGGAGGGTTACTGCGAAGGGCCTTCTAGTTCACAGGCACACCAAGCACTGTCTGGGGGCCAAACAGATAAAACTGCTTTTGCATCTACACATCACAAAGCGCTGGAGACAGCAGTAACTGACCCGACACTGCCCGAAGGCCTGAGGGACCCAGGGCGGCACCTGGCTTTGGCCACCTGCTGTCAATCAGCACATTTCCCAAATGACCACTGCGTGTCCCGCTCCAGGTCTGGAGTCCCCAGGGTGCAGGCGGAGACAAGCACACGTGATTGAGGATGAATGTCACATTAATGGAGTGCTCAGTATGCGGTGGAGACTGAGATGGGGCCAGGATCTGGGCTGCGATCACAGAAACCAGGTTCCGGGGAGCCTGGCTCTCAGCACCGTTCCTGCGGCACGGGTGAGCCAGAGGTCGGCCTCGGAGACGCTCGCTCAAGACTTCCCGTCAGTGGTTCTACATGTCGAGATCCTGCCTTCAGAGTCACCCAAAATGCCACCGAGGACGGTGCACAAAGATGCTTGGCACCGAGGTTAGTTGTGATGGCACGTTCCAAGAACCCACTGTGTGCTCTGCAGCAGGCAGATCACAGCCCAATGCCCGGGATAAACTCCATGGAGCCACTGAAAATCGCATTTTCACAGGACCCTGAATGGCACAGAAGATGCCCATAACAAACGCTCAGTTCTGTAGGGTGGGACACACCACTGCTTGGCACGCATGTGACTTCATGACTAAGGGAGAGACGTTATTTACGAGTGGGTGGATGGACGAACAGACGGCCAGGCTGAAGGAAACACACCAAAATCCTGACTGCGGGACTCTTTTTTTGTTGTTGTTGTCACTTAGAGATTTCCCACAATGAGCCTAGATGAATGCTAAACACCAGAAAGACCGCTGGCGCTCCTGAGAAGCAAGGTAAGGGAAAACACAGCGGCGAGGACCCAGTTCTGAGTGATGAGGGCCGGCGGCTCCAGATGGCGGCCTCTGGTCAGAGGCTGAGGCCCCCAGCCTGGCACGGGGGGCCTTCAAGGAGCGGGCGAGCCAAGACGCGTGCTGCAGATCACAGACACGTGGGCAGGGGGAAGGCAGCAACCCTTGGCTCAAGTGCTCAGAAGGTTTCCGGGAGGAGGCATGAATGGACCTTAAAAGGCAACCAGGGGCTGGACTAGCGGCTCTGGGAAAAGTACCCAGACTCCAGCGTGCACCAGGCGTGGGCTCCAGGCCACCGGCTACAACATGACCTCATGCCCCCCGCCCACCTGCTGGCCAGGGCACATCCTCCCCGTCCTACGGGTATGGGACAGGGGTTCAGAGAGGCTGCCTGCCCCTCGGCCACACCGCCAGGAAGTGCAGGGTCAAGGCGGGACCCAGCTTTACCTGACCCAGGCCCAGGGTCTCCACTGTGCCTGGTGGACCTTCCCGGGTCAGGAAGAGAACACAGCTACACAACAGCCGGCAGGACCCCGAGCGGTGCCAGTGGCTGGGCTCTGTTTTGCTACCAACAGCGCTATCTTGTGTTTAAGAGCAGGCTGTTCGGAAGCCCCGGCAGTGCTCCCTCTGGGACATGATCCGTGAATGCCCCCCAGGCCTCTAACAACGCGAGAAACCATGTGCTCTTTAAAGATGCTCATCCAGCAGTGTACAAACAGCCAAGTGCCAAAACATGCAGAGAAAGTGTCCGCCCCGGCTGCATCCCCTAAATACTACGAGTTGTTGATCTACCAAAATAACAACAGAGCAGCTCTTTTCATTTTCTGTCATGGACTAACGTGAAAAAATGCATCTTGTACCCTGAAATATAATCATAATTATGTTGTCAGCTAATTCTGATGAAGATGCTATAATTTGGATGCATTTTTAGGTTCAATTACTGTGCACTCGTCCTTATCCAAAGGATTCAAAGGGGAAATGGCATGTTCAGCATAAGGAAAACCACAGAAGTTTGGGGTCTGAGCATTCGATTTCTATGAGTTTTTTTTGCCAGCTTTTAACCAGCTACGCCACATTATTAAAAGGAAAATCTTAAAATAACTGCATAAACAAGTCCTCATTTCTGAGCTCTGATTTGCAAATACTCCTGGCCAGGAGCAGCCAGGTCCTGTCTGTGACCTGACCTCCCACCTGCTCACCCCTGCATGGGGACCAGAGAGGAAAGAGGGCCACTGTTCCCAGAAGGTCATGAACTCGATGGGCTTACAGGTCCCGGAGGGTGGTTGGGCCCCTTTGACTCTGGGGAGGGTCACTGGGAGCCAACAGATCACAACTGTGAGGTGGCTGGGCCTCCTGCCCCTTCCTTTGGCAACGGGCAGCCCTCATGTCAGCTGGAGCTGGCCTGCTCCTGAGGGGACCCTGTCAAAAGCTCAGGCCCTCGAGTAAATGGACAGAGAAGGCCAGGAGCACGTGGAGTGGAGACATCGTCCACCATCCTTCTGAGACAGACA